ACCAACTAACACACACACACGCGCACCAACTAACTAACACACACGCACGCGCACCAACTAACACACGCACACGCACCAACTAACACACGCACACGCACCAACTAACTAACACACGCACCAACTAACTAACACACGCACGCGCGCCAACTAACAAACACACACACACACCAACTAACTAACACACACACACGCGCACCAACTAACACACACACACGCGCACCAACTAACACACACACGCGCGCACCAACTAACACACACACGCGCGCACCAACTAACACACACGCGCGCGCCAACTAACACACACGCGCGCACCAACTAACACACGCGCGCACACACACACGCACCAACTAACACACGCACCAACTAACACACGCACACGCGCGCGCACACACACCAAAGCACCAACACACCGACGCCTGCTCAGAAGGCCAGAGAAATTTAGTGGTAATGATAGAACAACCATTTCTGATATTTCTAATGTAAAATGTTACTATTGTTTTACTGATAAGTAAGATGTGCATGCCTTTCTATTGTCTAGTGGCAATCACAAATTCAACCACATGACCAAGTGGGGGTTTGGAGCACAATCCAATAAGGTCTTGGAGGCAGTTAGTTTTTGCATCATATTCATGAAATCGGGTAGAAATTTTCACATCTTTCACTTTCTTTACATAAAACTATTTCATTAAATCAGAATAACTTTCCAGAAGAAACCTAGTCTAGGACAGTTGTCTAGTTCTCTATGAAAGTTCAGTAGATCTTTGGGAGTTCTAGTTGCCTATTGTTAATAAAAAAAATAATAAAATACAAAGTAATGGCATGCCTATGCCACACCACACTCTCTCTAATAATAAACAGGATTCAATATTTTAGAAGAACTTTTTTCACCTAGGAGAGTGTACAGGGTATAAATGTCTGTGCATGTATTTAGCAATTCATATTATGTTCAATGATATTTCCTCTTGGATGGTTTGTTTATCTTGTTCTTTTGTTATGTTCCAGCAAAACCTGATGTTACATTTATAATTGACGATACGGATGTTGTCGACTTGATATCTGGTAAACTGAATCCCCAGAAAGCATTTTTCCAGGGCAAAATAAAGATTCAGGGCAACATGGGTCTTGCTATGAAACTTACTGAACTTCAGAGACGAGCTCAGTCTCGCATTGAGGAAATAAGATCAAAGTTGTGAGCGGAAGTATAACTTGTTATCGAAGGATAAAGAGCAAGAAGAATATATTGTTAAAGACTTCAGATAATTCCATATATACAGGGGCATGGATTTTATATAAAATTAATGGTGCTCATGTTGGTATATCATATAATATTCAGTATGAATTGAGCAAGGTTCCAAGGGCATTATGGCTATTTTGGTATCTATTTGTATATAAATGGCATTATTTTAATTTTAAGAGGAGAGAATGTTTTTTATTAACGTATTATTACCAAATATTTGTGATGGTAATATTAATTAGATAATATTATTGATGTACAAAATGAATAAGAGAAATATATTTTTGGTTTTTGTTGTTACATTATTTTTAAATTATGATCATAAAAACTTTCATTAGATATCATGTGAATGTATGCATACAGTCTTCATAAACAAAATCTTACAACAATTGATATGGCTAAACCCTGGTTTAATAGTAAATGTTAACTTCTAGCTTTTTCTACATTGTGTGACCACCTATGCTGCAAACAGGTCTACAGGACCCAGACATTACAAAACACTTCCTTCTTAAAACTCATTAGGAAAATATCATAGTTTATAATGCAATAATATAGCTAGAGATAATTTAGGAAGGTACATGGAACAACATGTTTCATTGGAAGGCTTGAATATCAATTTATGCCATTTTCAACAATGAGGGGAGTCTAAAAACCTTTCACAAGAGATTTCAACTATTACATTCAAGTTAAGCCTTTTCAAACCTTTACATTTTTGCTAAGAAAACATGTAGCTTGGTAAATCTTCATTTCTTTCACAATATGAGCAACTGTTTCCTTCAACATACATCAAGTAAAATGAAAAGAATTTCATTCTCTTAACAAAATATAAGAAAATAAAAAATCTTGTTTTTGTGTGCATCAAAACATTTAAACTAGTTTTCAATGGTTAAGCAATCTTTAATACAGTGTTGTTGTTTGTTGTTTTTTTTTTCCTCCAAAATCTTCAAGAACTTCTTCCTAACAGTAATTTTCTGCTCGTTTCTTGACTTCTGACACATCCTTTGCTTTTCTTTGAAGAGTATGTGCATTTACCTGATGCTTCCAGCAGTCATCTTTTTAGTATCTGATCATGTCAGGGAGGGTATACTTGGAAGGGCTCATGATTGAACTTGTTAATTCCAGCTTTGTTAAGTCCATAAGTCAAATGAGGCTCATAGTCTTGGTCTTGCTAATTACCAAGTGTTAAAAGAAACATTTGGATTGATAGGTGTTATCCAGCTTCTACAAAAATCTTTCAGTGAAGGGAATTTTCCACCCAATTGATAATTTTTTGGGTGACATCAGAACACAAGAATCTGAATTATCATTTCACCAAAAGCATATTACATACATGTATTAGGTGATAAAGAGCCTTTTATTCAAACCAAAGTAAGTGCAATTGATACAGAACATGCCATGAGCTTTCAATCCAAGAAGTCTTGCCTTTGATGTTGAGGCAACAATCAACTTCAATGTTCCCTACAATAAGCTCCAAAATGTTCAGAATTTTTCCTTGAAAACAATTTGTTTTGGCAAACCTTGTTAGCTGCAACCAGTTGCAAGTGTCTTAATTTCAAGGAGAATTAGATTTGAAGAAACTCCTTCGGGTTTTAGGTGTGAACATCTACCACCAGCAAGCATGATCAGTCGAATTTTTAAGCCAACTTGTGAAGGTTTGAGAGGTTCCCCAATTGAAGCTGATCGCTCCTTTTCTAGCTCCATGGCAGTTTCAAGAATATGGCCAATTACTCCTGTTAATTTGCAATTTGATGATTTTTACAAACTAGTATTGTCTCAATGGCAACTCGTTTCAGTGGAGAGCACAACCTAACTAGATCAGTTATTCAGTTTTATCTCAATCCCGTGCTTGACACCACATTCACAACCAGTGTTAAGATTAGTGAAATCACCTCCCATGATCTGTATCTCTTTGCCAATTTGTTTTATATTAATTTATATTATCCATGAAATTTTGAGCAATAATTTTCAACAGGTTTCCGGTCTGGTCCAGGGGCTTAGCTAAGCTGGTGCAACTGATGCATCACATCAGGAGCCCTGAAGTGAAGATCCCTGACAACACCCAACAAATGTGTGGTTCCTGTTTAAAATTATCATAATAATAGTAATAATTCCGTGAGAGTAGCTGGTCTCCTATCGGACGCGTCCCCAGGTGGCGGATCGGGGAATGCTCTTACCGGCCACGCCGGCGGGGAGGTGGGAAATAAAATACCACCCGTGGACCAAATCCAGAACGCGAGAGGAAGGTGACCCCGAAAAGAAACCCACGGTGGAAGGTCCCTCAGGATCAACTGTTACGGTGCAGGGGAGCGGAGCCCCAGTACCGGCAACCGGGGGGGAGCAAGCAGGCCCCCGGCGGTCGGCAACCAGCGACTGAACTTTCAGAGACGTGAACCGCATGGCGTCTCTGAAATACTACACTGCAACAAGCGAAAGCATAGAGCAAGCAGGTTTTAACCCCTTTTCTGGGAAGTCAAAACTGCGTAAATCACCTCCATGTACCCCCACGACAACTGGTGTACCCACAGGAGACAAGGCAACCCTGGTCCAAGAAGAGCTCTCGTCGGCAGGGGATAGTAATGCGAGGGGCTGGACATTAGATAACTGGGTGATGACTCAAAAGTTGATGAAAGGCAATTCAGAGATTATTGCCCGTCTACAGAGTCAATATCATTAGCAGTAACATTCTGAAACAACCCAGTTATAGTGAAGGACACGTTGGCTATAGCTCTAGAATAGGTGGAAAAACATTAAAGAAGACCAAAAGGGGATGTATGAAAAAATAATCACTCTAGAGAATGACAAAAAGGTCGATAATAACAAACACGGCAAACAGTTGAACGGGAAGTCGGTGAAAACGGCACAGTTCCAGAATAAGAAGAGACAAGCTCCAAGTCCACTACATGACAAGAGGCCTTATAAAGACAAACAGGAAGAAGTCATCGAGCTGGTTACATAAAACCAAACCAAAACCCCGATAAGAACTAGCAGATAGTGGAACACAGAAAGACGGTGAAGAAAGAGGGGAGAGTTCCACCGAAGAAGGCAATCAAACCCCCCAAGGCAAGGAACAGAAGACCCATTAACCAGGCCATCAAATTGACAGCCAACGAAGGGCAATCATCCTTCGCGCCAGGCAGAAATTCTGCTCCCAGCAGAGAATTTTGAGATTGGCTGGCTCACCAGCCACGTTAGAATGAAGCACCAGGTCAGGAGATGCTTTAAATGTAGAGGCTTTGGCCATATCTCCACCTCTTGCAAGGGCCCCGACAGAAGTGATGTACGCTACAAATGTGGCAAAAAGGGACACTTGGCCAAGGACTACAGAGGACCAGTTCAATGTAGTGTCTGCAAAGACCAAAACCTTAAAGACAATCATAAGCTGGGTAGCTATAAATGTCCTTCCTTCATTGCAGAACTAAGGAAAAATCAGCAAAACAAAGAATGCCTAGGTTCCTTCAAATAAGTTTAGGCAAAGAGAAAACCTCCCAAGAACTACTAATTCAAACGGCAAGAGAAAGTCAAATGGATGTCTTACTAGTCGGTGAGCAGCACGATGTTGACGATACATCCCTCTACCAGGACACGACCAGACGTGCAGGAATTATAATACTCAACTCCAAAATAAGAGCAACTTAATTTAAAGTTACAAACCAAGGGTTTGTATGGGTATAAATGGACAGCCTTAGAATATATAATTGCTATTTCTCCCCAAACGACCGAATAGAGAAATTTAAGAAGCAAATGGATGAACTGGAGACAAGCATGAACTCAGCCCAGGAGAAATAATATTGGTTGGAGACTTTAACAGCAAGTTCCCGGAGTGGGGCGAAAGTAGAACTGATCGCAGAGGCGATAGGGTTTGCGAATTCCTGGCTAGGAAGGACCTGGTAGTTCTAAACATAGGAAGCTCATGTACATTTCAATGGCGCGCAGCTTCTTTAATAATATACTTAACAATAGGAGCCACAAGAATGTCCTGGATTGACAGATTCTCGATGCTGAAACACTTAGCGATCACCGCTACATCGAATTCTCCACTTCATGCGCTGGAAACAGAGCTAGAAAAAGTCATGATGGCCAAACATCGGTCCATCATCGAACACCAAAAAGCAAAAAGAAGCTGATGCCATAATATTCCTTGATGAAGCTAAATTACTGGAGTCCATGGGGTGGAGTAAAAGAAAAAATGCAGAGTCCCTCGAAGAGGTAGTACGGGAAACGTGCGAAACCGTTAAAACACATGTGACATCTCAATGCCCAGATGTAAGAGCCCAAATCAGGTGTATTGGTGGACAGCGATTATTGCAGAGCTTCGTCAAGCATGTGTTAAAGCTCGAAGACTTGCAACAAGATCTAAAACTGACATTCTGCTGAGGGAAAATTACAAGACGGCCCGCAAAAGACTAAAATCGGAGATGAAAAGAAGCAAAACAAAATGCTGTAAGGCCCTATTAAACGATGTGAACAACGACCTCTGGGGAAAAGCCTACAAGATTATGGGCAAATTTAAACCTTCAACAACCGCGGGGCTGGAAGACCCCGCATGGGTGAAGGCAATTATCAGAGACCTTTTCCCTATCAGAGAATGCTGGGTAAGAAGCAGACCTTCTGACTACCTCTTCGACGAAGCCAACCGCTTCATGAAGGACGAACTTGTACAGACGATGAAGAAGAACAAGATTATAACTGCACCAGGACCTGACGGAGTTCCCATCGCGATCCTGGGAATAGTTATAAAAGAATACCCAGAATTCCTTTTGAAAGCCTTTAACCAGTGTCTTGAACAAGGGAAATTCTATAAGGGTTGGAAAAATCAGAAGCTAATTCTCATGCGGAAAAGGAACAAGCCAATCGATCGGACGTCATCGTTCAGACCTCTGTGCCTGCTGTATACGATGAGCAAATTATTGGAGGGTTTGCTCCTTCTATGACAAGAGAGACATGTGCAATTTTCAACGAGACAGTTTGGATTTAGAAAGGGATTCTTGACAATAGACGCTATCTCCGAAGCAGTCCACCATGCATAAATAGCAAAAAGGAAGGGAATTATGAGCTTTGGTTTGCGATTGACATCAAAAATGCATTTAATTCTGCCAGCTGGAAAGACATCATACAAGCCCTAGTAGCTAAGAAGATCCCTGAATACCTTGTGAGGATTCTGGAGGACTACCTCAGTGAGAGGGAAAAAATCTACACCAACGGGTATAGGATTCAGGAAGACATGACGTGCGGTGTCTCACAGGGATCAAGATTGCGCCCCTTCCCGTGGAATACTCTACATGATGACCTGCTGAATATCGACCTCCCAAAGAACTCTAGTCTCAGAGGCTACGCCGACGACACACTGATTATATGCCATAGTGACAACACGGAACTACTGGAAATGAAGACCAACGAAACACTACGCAGGGTTAAAAGATGGTTGGACCAAAGAAACCTCCAGATGGCTGTTGACAAGACGGAGGCCGCGTTGATTACAAACCGCAGAGCATTCCGCCCCCCGGTGATCCGACTGCGGGAGGAACTTATTGAATGGAAACGGCATATTACATACCTGGGGTTGAAATTTATTCACGATCGATCTTCGGACCCCATATTATAAAATCAGCAGGAAAAGCTGCAAAGACTAGATCAAACCTCTCCAGACTAATGCTGAACTCAGAGGTCCCAGTGAAAGCAAAATAAGGTTGATTTCTGCCGTAGTGCACTCAAAAAAGCTGTATGCCGCCCCAGTGTGGGCAGAAGCACTAGCAAAAGAGTCCATTCGACGAAAATTCACAG